AGAGGGGGCTGGCTGAGTTTGGGGGTGCTTGAGGCATATGCAGGTCAGTGGGCACACACACACATTTAGGGATCAGGAGAAACGTCAAGATAAAGAAATAAATGAGTTAGTGCAAGGATGTGGGACCAAAAAGAGCTGGGAAGGCTAGACAGATTTTGCCTATTGGGTGGGGCAGCGATCTAAGGGAGTGCCTAGCAGGCAAACAGCCTGAGACAAGACATGGAGGGGGAGGAAAGTGGCACAAAAATTCAGAAAAGGTAATAATAGCATTGAGCTTAAGCACTGGTTGCCTTAGGGTAGTTGTGAGAGGCGTATCACAACTGAAGAGATACAGAGGCTTAGCCTCTGAAGTTACGCCGGGTGAGGTCGGTACACAATTCGGCAGGCAACAGGGAGCCACTGAAGGGTGTGGAGCAGGAGGGGTGTGATGAAGGCTACGTCTCAGCTTGAGCTAACCCGACAGCACATGACGAATTAAAACAAAGACCAAAACAGAGAAATATGAGGGCCAGGGATTGCCACTTCTTTGTTCATTCAACAAGCAGGCAGCCTCCTCTGTGCAGAAGCAACCTTTTTCCCCAACCTAACATCTAGCCCCTCATCTGCTAAGGGTTCAGACACCCAACCACCTAGCATTAATACTGCATGCAAAAAAAAAAGAAAAGAAAAAGAAAAAAAAAAGAGTAACTGTAGGCTTCTACTAAACATTTCAGGATAATCAATAAATGTGAACGAGTTTAGGTCAGTCACCTCCTAAACGAAAAGGAGTTTTACACGTACATGCAGTGGAACACTATTCAGCCTTAAAAAGGAAAGAGATTCTGACACCTGCCACAACATGGATGAACCTGGAAGACATTGTGCTGAGTGAAAGAAACCAGACACAAAAATGAAGAGAGTTCTGGAGGTCTCCTCCTTGCAGGACGTGAATGTACGTACTACTGCTGAACTGTGTACTTACAAATGGTTAAGGTGGCAAGTGTAAAGGGTATTTTATCACAATTAAAAATAGAGGTCATTTTTAAAAGGAGTTTCCAAATGGATCATAGAACAAAACCCAGCTCTAAAACAGAAACCACGTCTAAAATAGTCATTTGGAAACCTACAAATAAAGGAACTGGAAAGCTATACCAAGCAAATGTAAACAAAAAGCAAGCATGGGCTGTGAGCTTGATAGAGGACAAGACAGAACTCAGACTCCAAGCACGGAGTGAGATGAAGACGAGAGAAGAGCCAGACTCTCTGGGCACCAGACAACCCGGCAGCAAGTCATCCAGCAGAAACTACAGGAAGTGCAAGAAGAAATACGAATGCTAGTCAGTCTCACACTCACCAACAGGCCAAAAAATACAGAAAATCTAATATAAACTACATTTCCTGTGTACATATCAAAATTTGTACCCTCCCCCAGAGACTGTACCTTTTGGTGCACATCATGGAAACTGACCACGTATTAGAGCAAAAGAAACTGCAAAGCTTCGCTCAGTGGTTTCAATGGGCTAGAGGTAGGAACACTTTGAAAACTAAAAAGGACCAAGCCAATGAGGTATTGGTACCATCGACACTATTCCTGTCCTTATTGTCATTATTCACTGGTTCTCTTACAAGTTCTAGGGGAGTCTGCCAAACAGGTAGGAGGTGGAAATATGCAAATATAAACCTTTACCATCATCCCTTCAGTGTTTACCATGTGCCGCCTCCTGTGCAGCTTTCAACATACACTTTTATTAGAAATAGCTAATTGTTTTATGAGAGTGAGCTTTCTGCTTCTCTTCTATCACCCTCAGGGCCTGGAGCAGTGCATTTTGAGTAAGTGGTGAAGACTTACAAACTGAAGTGCACTGATTAAGGATCTACTTCAAAGTCAGATCTGAGTTTCAAACTTCTGGCACTGACTAGCTGTGTGACCTTGGACAAGCAGAATGCCCATTGTGAATCTTGGTTTTCTCATATGTAAACAGATAGGAGCAATACTTACACCAGCTGACACTGTTCAGTTTAACTCTAGTAAGGGTCCAGCATGGCACCTGCTCTAAGGTAGGCATTCAGTAAAGGTTAGTCTGAGGTTGAGGAAGAGTAGGTAAAACTCACCAAAACAGATAAACTTAGAATAGGGGTTCTTTTTTCTCAAAAAGCAAAAAAAATCATCTTTAAATAAAAACATCCTCCAATGCATGTAAAATGATTTTTTTTAAAGATTTATTTATTTGGGGGGAGCGGCGGGAGACAAAAGGGAGAGGAAGAAAGAGACCCAAGCAGACTCATGCATGGAGCCCACACGGAGCTCAATCCCACAACCGAGATCATGACCCGAGCCAAAACCAAGAGTCAGATACCCAAACCGACTGCGCCATTTTTAAATGATATTTAAATATCATTTTAAAAATGATATTTTAAAAAAATATCATAGGGGTAGCAGTGAAATAAGTTAAGGTACATTCATAGTATGGAATACCACACTGCAATGAAAAAGGGGTAAGTTGTATCTCCATGTTCACATATGAGCAGATGGCCATCATGTGTTGTTGGGTTAAAAAAAAAAAAAAAGCAAGCTTCAGAATATGAACAGAATAGTTCCCTTCCCTGCTTTTTAAAAATTATGTACGTATAAATGTCTGGAAGAATACACATCTAATCATTAAAGGGGAGTAAGATTGGGAACTTAACAAGAAGTCTGTCTTTTTTAACTTTTTATATTCCAGTTTCTTTTGTAACTTCTAACACACACAAACACACACACACACAAGCATGTAAAAAAGAAAAAAAACGGGACAGAAGTCTTTGAATCCTCTCTGGCCTGTATGTTTCATGGGACTTGGAAAGCCGGTGAGCTGCATGGAGGAGGTGGTTAATCCTTCTGGCGAGGGTAGGAATTCCCATCCCCAGCTTTTCCTTTTCAAAGAAGGAGGCTCAAGGAAGGAGAGAGGGAGAAGGCATTGCTCCAGCATTACTCATTACTCAGCAGATCCAAACAGGTAGTCTCATCCCGGTCCCTGCCACCACTGCAGCCCGACACAGACGAACAGAGAAACTCTTTGATAAATGTCAACTGAAATACAGCAATCAGCTGAAAGCCATTTGCTGAGCTGTCTGACTGCCCTGGGCTCGAGGTTTTCCTTTATTCATTTATCATGATATACAGCTTTGGCCAACATACACACAGGAGAGAAATTGTTGACATGTGGGACCCAAGTACAGAGAATCTTTCATTTTCCACCCCACCCCCCAACCCCGTCTGTTCACCAAATAAGTTTTTGTTTATTTAAAGACTACAGAGGATTTGGCTGTTAAGAACCAAATGCCTTTGGAGTGGAGTTACAACATAATTTATCATTTCCTCTGTTTATTAAAAAATCCTGCATCTTTGAGAAGCACATTTGCTGTGAGTGGGGGATTTCGGCCACTCACGAAAGACTGCCGCAATGCCCCGCCATGTGGCTTACCCCAAAAAAGGCTCCTTGATTGCTATGTCTATCCCTGTTCTTCCCCCAGCTGACTTCTGATCGTGTGATGGCTACTCAGGGCTGGTGAGTGGGGCTGGACTGAGGACAGGTAAGTGGGGGCGGAGACTAGGTTAGCTTCTTTCATTTTTGACCTGATTCTGACCTTGAACCCTCAATGGCTGTATACACTGTGCTCTACCAGTATAAGCAGAGGGAGAAGAGCAGACCTCCCCCAACGGAAGGGATCTGAGAAGAGTCAGACAGCAAAGAGAAGCTGGATGCCGCTTCAAAGGAGTGAAAGCAGGCCCCACAGCTGCCCAAGGAGGTTCCACTCTAAGGGCAGACATCTGGCAAAACTGGAATGAACTTCCGACCTTCCACTCAAGACATTTTGGATAACGACTCAGTCCAGCGTGCTGTGCACCCCTCAAAGACAGAGGTCACATCTTGCCCATTTTTGCAACCCCAGCATGTAGCACGGTACCTGACACGCAACTGGTGCTCACTAAATGTTCATGAAGGCTGCAGGATGCAGTGGGCAGAGCGCAAGCTTTAGATCAGGCCTCGGTTTGAATCCCAGCTCTGCCACTTGCTAGCTATGTACCCTGGGCAAGAAATTTGACCTCTCTCGAGCTCCTCCCTCTCTGCAAAATGAGTCTGACAATGAATAACGAAACCCTCTATCACTTTACTAGGCTTGTTACTTTGGGGAAGTCCTCTAATACTGTCAAGTCTCAGTCTCCTATTTATAAAATGAAGATAATACACATCTCCTAAGTTTACCATGAAGATTAAAGATACTGCCTAGAATTGGATCTAGTTCTATATTATGAATGAGAGAATGAAAAGAGAATAAAAGAAAGAAAGAAAGAAAGAAAGAAAGAAAGAAAGAAAGAAAGAAAGAAA